TAGTATGTACAGTTTAAAAAAATATTGTACCTATTATACATTTGTGCATACTTAAAAATAGTTTTATAAGGAAGACATAATATAACATCACGCCTTATACTCTCGAAGGGGTAGGCAGAGGTGCACATTATGCCACTGTACAATGTAACACCCACTTTTCACTATTTATGTTATGAGTCCCATGTAATAGGGGGTGAGCCTATGGGCATATACCGGGCACAATTCCAGACTCCGTGCTACTACTGAGAATTTTTAAAAAACCCAGCAGTACTTTGCCCAACCCGGGAGTCGAACCCGAGACCCCTTGCCCGGCAGTCGCACTTGCGACCACTCGGCCAACGAGGCAGCCAGAGAGTTTTATAAGAAAGAAATTTTATTGCTCATACATTATAATAACCAATATAATGTATGAGCAATAGGCTTCGTACTGTTGATACAATTGCATTAATCATTCATAAGATTAGAAGATAATAGTTCAGCAAAAATACATGAAGTTTCCGTACAGGCAGCAATACATTTGGTATACAGGTAACAAAATAAACTACAGAATAGTTATTGCTACATTAATTTGCAGGTTTTTAACCATAATAATATGTTTATAACAGATACAGTAAACAATTGGTTCAATTCAGTAGCCAATAAGGGTTACTATATCTGTACTGCTTTACTAATTACTTTTTGTAATACTTGTTGAACTGAGAATAGATGTACAGTCAAAGGTCAAAAGTCCACTGCCACCGTGAGTGATGTTCACAAGGCAATGCGTAAGTAATATCATATAAAACTGTCAAACACCAAGCGGTCACCGGTGACCGCGACCTATTGTTCTATAATTGTGTCTATACTGACGGTACTCGACGAGTTAATGTGCATAAAAACGCGTGCGTACGCATAAACACACGCACGCGTACGCACACGGATAAAAATATGCGTGCGCATGTGTGTATAAGCGCTGCAGCGCAACCGATAGTAGTCTTACGGTGGAAGTGGACTTTTGGCCTTTGACCGTACATAGACTGTAACTGCAGAGACTATGGAACGCCAATTGCTACGATTCCTACATACCTCCTTCGCTTCATCAACTGTCATCAATCTTTTGAAGCATGCTCGTTGGTTAGCGGTCCTCTTAATATACTGACTGAATAGATTTCCTGAAGAAAAAGATTTGACTTTGACCATAAAAAGGTAAGAGACTAGTTAAAACTAAAAGTAAAGTTAGAATTATATACAAAGTATTTAATTGAAAGGATTGAGATGAATACTTCTCACGACAATGAAGACTACCGTCTGATTGTTTACCAGATGACTATAATGTAGCTTGAGTTCTGTTTAGTTCTGTTCTGTTTAATGGCATGACTGTCAATAATTATGTAAATTGTAATACTTTTTACTGGTGACTTGTAACTGAATGTATTCCTATTAATAAACATTGATTGATGTATTGGCAACTGATAAAAACTTAAACCAGTAGATTTCTATTCATTGATGTTTCTCTAGTCAGTTCGGGATGTTTTTATAAATACCAAAAATTATGAATATCTCATAAACCAGCCACTTTTGAACTAAATTTTTTTACAATGACCAAAAATGTTGAGGATCTCAGAAACTATAGACTAGGGACCAGAGGGCTAATTTTGTAGGAAATTAGTTATATTATCACCTCTTGAAAAGAATACGTCTAGCTACAAGTCACCCTGTATACACGATACACGACCTCAGCTCAGCCTCTATTATCGGGATCTGTTGAGCGAAAATAAGTAGCCCTTATTGTAAGCTGGCCATTTAGTTAAGCTTAAATTAAATACAACCAAACACTTATAGCGTTTGCGGTTAGTTCTATTCTAACACAATTCTGTGTAGCACTCACTAAGGGCCGGTTTTTCAATGCTCCGTTACATTTTATCAGACGAATAACTTTGAATATTTGACAATTCTTCCTTCTACAGTTAAGAATTAACTATTGATTGAAAAATCGGCCCTTAGGAATTTAATCTATTTATTGCTCAAAACATTAATTAACACATTATAGCTTTAAAAAGAGAATACATTCAATAACATACATATGTTTATATTGTAGCTCCAAATTGTTTAGACATTGAGGAGTCCTTACAAAATAAATCTAGACGTTTCACGTCAATAAATAAAAAGTTGCTTAAAATTAAACGTTTCAAATAACACAGGTAACATTGCTTTTAACACTAAGTTATTGCGTGTTTAGCGTCCATTTTAAATTAGACTGTTAGATAACTAAATAGGAATCAATTTCACTTGGGCTTTGATCGTGGTCGAATCTAGTTGTCAGTTACATACTCACAATATTATTATAATAATGTTAGACCTACTTTCGCCTGTGACACAGGATTATCCTAGTACAGGCACCTAACCATGTGAGATCTATTTTATTTACCTATGAAATATTTTGTATATGTGTCCATTTACATTTCTGAATAAAGATTTTATTTATTTATTTATTAATATTGCATCAAGCGTAGTTTTGGCAGTGGGCACTATTGTTTATTTGTCTAAAATTCTAAATCAACTATTCACTGTTTACATCACCTTTGCGTCATTGTTTACCAATTCATACATCTATAAAATGTAGGATGGGTTATAGGTTATTCTATACAGAAAAATAACTAAAATATAGAGGTATGTTTGCTTGTCTGTACCGGATAAATAAGGTTGTTAGATACCTTAACTTATCATTTTTTTATTGCTTTGAAATGTACTAACATGAGTCGGTTAATGGCCAGAACTGAGTCATATAGAGCATGGCCGAAGCACGTTATACACCGACCACACACGCCCACACTCACACTCGTTCACGATACGGCACTGCGCTTAGACATTGGTTGGCACATTTGTGTTGAATGGTATTCGTACGAATGGTGGAGACAATACTGATGTACGTCTCGTAAAAGCAATGGGCCCTACCGCTAACCAACTGGCGCCAGTTTAAACCTCTTGTTCTTCGTCCAATAGCAAATCAGCTAGTGTCACACTATTGGATGGTCAATATTTAACAACAGCGGCGATTGGTCAAAAATCACGTTCCTACATTTGGCACTAGATGGCGATCTGGTGCAAAAAATGATAGCCCCCATTGTGGACACACATACGAATGTCAAAGTGACATTGGCGCAGTTTTTGAACGAGTGCGAGTGTGGGCATGTGCGGCGGGCAAGACAGTAGTGGTTGGCATGAGGTAACAATATAAGACAAATCTATTTGGTCATGGCGTGACAAACTGCTATTACTTGTTATTGTTTTTGTTTACGCTCAAAAGAGCTCGACATTATTTCAAGATCCAGGCTACACAATCTATTATTAGATTCCACATTTGATAAACATTGTTAGCTATATAATGATAAATGGTCAACATACATAAAGTATCATTTGTTATTTATGCATTCGAATAGTGACATATCACCTGAAGAAGGAAGTTGAACGTCTCAAGTGACTAAGATGGTTTATGAACCTGCAAACACAGTAAGTAGCTGACAACTTTGATTCTTACTATTTTCCATACCTATATCACACAACACACAAATGTCAGAAATAAGCGTTTCTAATAATGTAATTTATTATAAATACTTCTAATCAGTGTTGGGCAAATCAACTAATTTATTCAATCAATTGATCAATCATGATTGATCTAATCATGATTAATTTAGTCATGACTAATTTAATCATAACTAACGAGAACAATCATTAGTCATGACTAAATTCGTTAATCGCAAATCACCAATCATTAGTTTTAATCATGAATGTATGACTAAGCTCGATGCACAGGTGTTGGTACACTACACATACAGGGTATAAGGATCAGCTGACCGAAGTCTCAGACCATTATCTTGAGTAAAGTACTGAAGGAATTAGGTACGGAAATGAAAAAAATTTTTGACTCTGCATACAAAATATTAAAGTCGGCTGCTAATAGAATATAATGTATAGAAAGGCCAAAATTTTTTCTTTTCCGAGAAAAAATTCCTTCGGTCCGTTACTTAGGATGATGATCTGAGTCCATGGTTTTACTTTGGTAAGCCATCCTTTACACCCTATATTATATAGCTTTCTTAAATATATTATTTGTGTTTATAAAGTTCAATACAGTTACACTGAGATGATTAATAAATAAATAAAATAATACAAGTGTAATTTAGTTAGTCTTATAATCGTTAAAGCAATACGATGACATCATTTACTTTTCGAAAAACAAGTAATAAATTACATGATTACAGTCAGATGAGGTACGGGACCCTAAAAACTACTAAAGTTATAGAAGGTGTTACAAAAAACCCCGTTATACTGAAAACCATTTCTCCGTATCATAAGATTTTACCAGGGCATCTATTTATCTGACCACCAAAAAATACTGAATTTTAAACTAAAACACTAAAGTCTAACCTAACCTACAGTAACGTTTTGTGTCCAATTCAGTATTTTTTTAAGAAGCAGAAAAAATATTTTACCTTACCTCGTATTAAAAAATATCAATCATAAATAAATAATCATGATTATTTGATTAAGATTAAAACTAATCAATCGTTAGTCATCACCTCGTGATTAAACTAAATAATCATTAGTCATCAATCATAACTAACACATTCAATCATTAGTCATCAATCATTAGTTAACTAAATTTTGCCCAACACTG